TATGTAATTTTATTTTAATTTTTAAGATTAAATTTAATAGAATTTTCGATTTACAGGTTAAATAATCAATAATATTTTAATACATTTTATTAATTTTCAATATGTTATATTATTTTATGAATATATATTTTATTGAATTATGAAATATTTGAAAATATAATGTTAATAGTAATGTTACTATAAAATTATTTCATATAAATAAATCATTATTTTTGGTGAGGAGATTAATAATATTAAACAAATAAATCCAAATATTCATTGAAGAATTTAATATAAACATAATAGCTGAAATTCACTAGGTAGTTTGATAATAAAATAGAATTAGGTGGTGGATTAAAACATATATTATTTTTCTTACAACCAAAAAGAACAAACAATAGAATAATGTCGTAATTTTTAAGACTTAATCTAATATACATTCTTTCAAAACCATCTGAAATATACGAATAAAAAAAATTATATCCATTATTAATCTCACAAGAATTAAGATTGATAATTTTATCTATCAATTCTTTATAAATATCATATTTTAAAATGTTAAAATTATAATATTTACTCTTATAGATACTATGATTGAAATTTTCGTTATTTATTACATAATACTCTTCATTTTCGGAAATCCAGTAAAAACAATCGTGTCCCTCTACCATTCTTAATTTCTTTCTCTTTTCGGCCTTTGGATTATGGAATTCATGAATTATTCTGGAATGAAACAGAATATATCTATCACTGATAATAGGTGTGATGTTCTCTTTCGAATTAGGATTTAGAATATTTTCTTGAATAAGAGCTGGGGGGAGTTTCATCCAATCGAAACGGTATAGATCGGTAAGACTACCATCGAGATATTCACTCTGGTATTGACGGACTTTATGTTTTTTAAAATCTAGATGTTCACTATAGAATTTTAAATTCAGGAGGTGATGGCTTTCTTCATAGGGAGGTATATTTACGAATTTAATTATTTTCGAGTGAATTATTTCATTAACCATTTTTAAGAAGTTTTTATTAACAAGTTTTAATTTAATAAAATTAAATTCGAAAGAAAAAAAATCTTCGAATAAAATTACTAATATGTTATAGTGAATATCATTATTCATCGTAATAGATTTTATATAATAACTTTTTCAGATGTTTATTAAATCCCTCGCTGAATATGAATTTTCCAAAGATAAAGAATATTTATATAAGTTATTTTAAATAAATTTTTAGTGAATTAGTATTTTAAATTTTCGAAATTACCAAGTGTGGTTAGTACTTTTAGGTTTCAAGATTACCAAGCATGGTTAGTATTTTCAGATTTCAGAATTACCAAGCATAGTTAGTACTTTCAGATGACTGTTAATTGGAATATAATCATATTGACGATTTTAAAAATTTATATTCTGTTATATGTTTTATATAAAATTATTATATATATATAGAGCTACTCTCAGTTATTATTTTTCAAATAAAAATTCAAGTTGATAAAATGACTTCAGAGAAATACGAAGAAAATTATAATAATCTCGATAAATTTCTACTCATCGATTTGAGTGATTTAGATGACCAGAATAAACAAATCAAGAAATCGACTACGAAAACATCGGGATTTAATATTGAGGGATTGAAATTAAAGATTTTTTTACGAAATTTGATTTTCTTCTTATTTATTTTTTTTATTTTTTTTATTTATGTTTATCGTAGTCCATTTATCCAATTCGTTGAGTTTAAGATTAACATGGATTTCTCCAATACAACTGATGAATTTAAGGATTCGATCTTAAATGTTTTTAACGAATTTTCTAAAAGTTTAGTTAGTAATTCCCATGCTCATTTTTTCAATGTTACTTTCATTAGTTCTTGAAATATTATGTAATAACATGAATAATATTATAATAAGGATTCCGGATAAATAAACTGATTTTTGGATTATTTTTTAAAAAATTTATTCTTTAATTATAAAATTGTGATTGGATGTATATGTTGCGTATCTCATGTATAAATATTTGTAATCACGTGTTTATATATATATATAAATTATATGATTATATTTATGCTCACACGCCACATTTTTCAATTTTTTTTCTCTGGGAGAAGTGATGTATACCTGAGAGTTATTTATTTTAATATTTATGTGATAATAATTACAGAGGATTTTACGTCGAAATTTTCACTTTCATATTGACATATTATGATATTAATATTTAATGATAAATATTAAAGATTATGAAATCGTGTGTTGATGGTTGACGTTTTTGATTTTATAATCATGGTAGAAAAATATTTTAATGATAAATCATATTGTCTTACATTTAAATGAGACATGTAACTAAAATTTTTATTAAATATCTTTTTTTTCGATCTTATTTTTTAAAAATATGGTTATTGAAACGATAGAGGATAGTCAGGAAATTGTGGATCGTTCGGTAAATCTTATCTGGAGGGCAACTCATGGGAAGATTGTTTCGATTATTTTTAATCAAATTCAACTTCAAACGGTAACCATAACATTTGGTGATGGTGAGGTTAAGACCGTGGGGATTGATACACCGGGTGCAGTTCTTATAAGAGAGAATGTCTTTTCTCAGTTATCGAGAGAACTCGCCGTCTCAAATAAAGATAATCCTATTAATGTGGATGATTCATCTACATCGACGGTTGAGGATAAACTCGCAGGTGATATTCAGATATGATATTTTGATTGTTAAATATTTTATTTTAGTGAGTTAAATTTTGATTTTAGTTGTTTCATTTATTAATTCTGATTAGAATAATCGATCTTGGGAGGGTGAAGCCTCTCCATCGACTGGTGCTGATCAGGGTAATCAATCTCAGAATAGGGAAGCCTCTTCATCGACTGGTGCTGATCAGGGTAATCGACCTCGGGATGGGGAAGCCTCTTTACCGACTGGTGCTAATCAGAGTAATCAATCCAAACATGAGCGAGTTACTCAGAGCTCGGAAGTAAATAAATTTTCTAAGGTGTCAAAAGAAAAGAGAAGTGGGAGGAGGATGCGATTTCGCATCAATAAGGTAATATTTCTTGATTAATTGTTATTCATATTTGATTAATATACTGAGATGATAAAATTTTTGAAGCAAAAGTTAAAGATTCGGCGAGGTAAAGATGTGGATAACACAGATTGGTCTGAATGCGAGGAATGCCACGGGGAGCGGAAGGAGTTATGTAAATTATGTGGATGTTTTATATGTGAACGGAAGATTGATGGGGGTCGTATCCTCTTATGTGATGGTGGCTGTGGTAACGGTTATCATACTTATTGTTTGAATCCCCCAATTGATAAAATACCATCTGGAAAATGGTACTGCGATGGATGTAAATCCCAAAGGGTAGAACCGGTATTTATTTGAATTTTATTTATTTATTTATTATTGAGACTGAGATTGATTTAAAATAATAGCTTGAGTCTGAACCCTCGGGATCGAAAGGAGAGAAGGTAGTTTTGATGAGTGATGATAATAATCGAAATAATGTCCAAATTCCATTGGAGAGAGATGACTCGTTGGGAATAAATCAACCTATGTCGGATGTTATGATAACATCACGTGGTTCATCGATGGATGTTGATTCCCTGGGGTCAAATAATGATATGAGTATTACATTGTTACGTTTTTACATTATTATAGTAATTATTGTTATTGTATTTATTTTAATATGTAAATATCTTTTAGGATCGACAACTTGATGAGATTCGAGGAGGTAATTTCTAAAAGGTTTTTGAAAATTATCTTTGAACTTTGATTAATATATATTACGTAGATGATCCAGTGAGCAGATCGCATATGTTGAAGAAAATTTTTACTGATGTTACGACTGATCAATTGGACATACGTGGTGATCAACTTTTTTCGAGGAATGATTCGATGGAATCTTTTTTCACTTCGGATTTTAATTATCTTTTTGATATTGGTGATATTCATTTTTCACCTGGATCTCTACCATCTTATTCAACGTCAAATGTTGAAACATTGGATAATTACTTTAGGGAATGGATTGGTCAGTATAGTAAACTTAAGTTAACCAAGCGGAAGGCTGAGGAGAACATGTTGAAGATGATATATGATCTCCGAAAACCGTTTTTAGCATTACTTGTGGTACTTTCGACTGATTATAAACGGAAAAATAATGGACTATCACCCGCACCGAAAGTGTTACGCGGTCTCATTGCAGAGAAGATGATGACCGCACTATGTATCGATGATAGGCAAGAACGGAGATATTGGAGTGGAATGTGGAGATTGATTAAACTATTACATGTGACTCAATGTCCCGTGGCTATTCTCGTGATGGCTCGAATTAATTCCACATTTTTGTTGATGACGTCTATTAACAATTATAATAAATTTCTTATAGCTCTTTTGGGTGATGAGGGAGCTCACCATGAGAATCCTGTATTTGATGAGTTATTGATGCAAAAGGTTAAAGAGATTGTCCACAGACAGGAGACTGGTATTATAGATTAATTATTTTATATTTGTGTACACACGATGTATTTTATGAATATCACGTGTGGGAATTCTAGCCACACGTGATTGTAATTTCATGTGATGATTAATAAAAATTTAATATTTTATTGATGGAATTAATGATAGATACATGAGATGTTTTTATCGTGAGAGTTTAATAAAATAAATAATAAAATATATATGCATAGAATATTCATCAGAAAGATATCGATCATGCGATATCTATTTTTTAAGAAATCTGAGATATGTGATATAATTATTTTCAATACTTCTATAATTGGTGAGAAATTGATATTTCGTAAATGTAAATCGGGAAATTTTCTATCAGAAAAAATAAAAAAATTTGTGTTCTCTGGAACTTTATCCTCGCTAGTAGTAATTGAGAGTAATTGTTCGACGTAACACTGAAGTTCTTCAATTTTATCTGAAAAAAAAGTATTTTGCCCCCTTAATGATTTTATATCTGCTTCGTAATTCCTCAATTGGTCTCTCATTAGTTGTAAATCACTTTTTAATTGATTATTTTTTTTTCTTTCAGTTTTTAGTTCTAGGTCAATTATTTTATAATCTTTACTTGCGGCTGTAAGTTGTCGTTGGTATTGTTCAATGGTTTCTTTTAAAATTCGATTGGAATTTCTGTAGACATCATTTGAATCTTTTAAACTGGTGGTGAGTTCATTATTATATTCTGTTTCTTTATATGAAGGTGTACTAGGTGTTGGGGGGCTGTAAATGAATCTATCTGTCATCGAAAAAAAAAAGGAATAGAATAAAAAATAAAATAAAAAAAATAAAAAAAATAAAAATAAAGGGCGGGGTGTTGTTTTATTGAATTTCTGAGTGGTCTAAGTGACCTGAGTAGGTCAGTGTTGAATGGGAGGAATAATTTGTATCTTTTATCTTTTTGTAATTTTCAGTTAAATTTTTACGAATTTTTGATTTTTTTTGTTCGTAGAGAATGGTGTCATATGCTTTGGAAATAATACAACAGATGATGATAAGAGTGTAATCCTTGTCGTGATATTGGGTGTATGAGATGAAGAAAAAACCAGCAATCATCCAGAGTATGTTGCTCGTTAGGTTATGGAAAATAATAAAGAAGAGAACGAAAAAAGACATTTTATCCGCATTTTGATGTTGTAAGTATGACACGAGGGCGACGGCAAAAATCAAGGTGAAAAAGTGTTGATGATTTGTCATTTTTGAACTAACTTACCATAAATGAATCCGTTATCATTTTATACTTATATCAAATTCATAGATCTTGCCAATTTTAGATTTATTAAATTGATTGTGAACAATATTGTGAACAATATTGCGAATAAGGTTACCTTGTTAGAAACAATATTATGAATGGGGTATCCTTGTTAGAATGATTTGTAATTTTAATTTTCAAGAAAAAAAAAAGCATTCATTCCAGATTGAGATCAATCATGTTAGTGAAAAATTAACATGCATTTATTCTGGATATAGGCTTTTATTCCAATTCGAGATTGAATGGGTGATGTCGATTGTTTAATTTGTTGATATTTTTTTCTTTTATTCTAATTTGAGACTTAATGTCATCTCAAATTAATTATATAAGAGGATTGATTTGACTGAGGTATGGTAAGATGTCTTCAGATCAATCACAACCACATAGCACTCTCTTTTTGATAATTCTCTCCTTTTTATTTCCACCTTTTGGAATAATCGCACTAAGAGGTTGCGATTGCCAATTGTGTATTAATATTTTGTTAACAGTGTGTGGCTACGTTCCGGGTATTTTTCTATTTATTTATTTATTTATCTATTTGTTTTACTTTCTATTTACGATTATTATTGTAGGCCTTATTCACGCGATTTATATTATCACTTGTCGTGCTAAGTCACCGAGTAATACCACCCCGCCGGCATGAAAAAAATCATCTATCTAATCATATTTTGGTTATTATTTATTCTATCGGTTTTATATCCACAATATTTAATCATTGCGGTATTGATTGTCGTTTCTGTTTTATTGGTATATATACAATATAAGAAGTTAAAAGATCCAAGACCACCTAAGGGATTTTTTTTGAAGAAATTTAAACTTCGGGTTGAATCGAAAGTTGATAAGGTAAATAAACGGGTTGATATAAAGACTGATGATTCGGACAAAGGTGATATTGACAATATTAAATCGGATAATTTGGAGGGTGAAAGATCTTTTTTTCAAAATTTTAGATCAACTGTTGGAATATCTTTGGGAAAAATTAAAAAATAAGTTTTAATGTTGGTAGTTATGATTTTAGTTTTTTTACTCCGTTTGTGTATTTTAGCAGATCGATTATTGGATTACTTAGATCCAGATGATGATGATGATGATGATGATATTGATCCACATCACATACAATAAGTTTATATTACATGTTTTTTATTTTATTTTATATTATACATATTTACATTAAATTGTACTTTAAAGTAATAAATAAATTAAAGTATAAAAATGCTTTATACCCTTTATTTGATTATGGAGTTGAAATGAAAAATTCACGTATAACAAGGTTTAGACGTTTTAATTTCACTCTTTATGAACATGTGGATACATCATTTGTTAAATCTATAGAGGAGAAATTTCGAGATTTAAATAATTGTATTCAATATATTATCTTCCAATTGGAATTCAACCATCATGCTTCGGGTTCAGATGAACGTATACATATGCAAGGATTTGTAATATTAAAGAATCAAATGAGAATTGGAAAATATGATCGAGAGAGAGGGGTTGGATCTGGAATTAAGAATATATTTAAATCAAATAGTATTCATATTGATTTTGCGAATGGGACACCAGATCAATGTAGGGATTATTGCAGTAAAAAATATAATCGATGCAAGGATCACGACAGTTGTAAATGTGATTATTTTGATTTGGAAAGGGTATGTGAGAAATGTGATGAGAATTGTATTAGGGATTTTGCTCGTGTGTATGATGTGAATAGAGATGATACACCTTCTGGACCATGGGAATTTGGCGTTATTTATAATAATCAGAATCGAACTGAGGGTAATAGTAGGCATTCGAGAAAAAATAAAGAGAGTGAATATATGACTAAAGCGATAGATAAGATTATAGGAGGTGGTGATATCGATGAGGCAATTGTAGAATGTGCACCCATGATTCCATCTCGTATTACAGTTAACATGGATAGAATTGCAAAAGCAGTTAATAATATTAATGATAAATTTGGTGGACGATGTTGGGATCCATGTAATATTTACATATTTGGGACACCTGGAACAGGGAAAACTTTTTGGACTAGTATCGTATTTCCCAATGCATATAAAAAATCGATGGATGATGATTGGAAATGGTGGGAAAATTACAATAATAATCATATCGTTGTTATTAATGAGATGGAACGGGGATCTGCATCATAGAAAAATTTGCTTAATATTCTTGATCGAGTTCCACTGAGAGTTCAAGTTAAAGGATCATCACGTGAGTATGTTGGGATGTATCAGATATTTACTTCAAATACGGGATTACATGAATTATATGATTATCGTGAGGATCTCCCATTCTATGAGAAATCGAATGGATTCAAATTACCAAATAAAAAATATTATTCAGCAATTGAGAGGAGATTTAATTTCATTATAGAATATCGCAAATTTAGAAGTGATGGCATACGTGTTTGTAATGAAGAATGTACATGCTGTAAAATTCAGAGGATTTTTCATAAGGGTTCAAGGGAGAAATTTCAGAGTTTAGAATTTGATATTGAATTTAATGGAGACGTAATTCGAGAGCATGCACTGAAGATTGTAAGAAAATTAAATAAGGGGGGAAAGTTATTGAAATTAGGTGATAAGATTATTTGGAGAGAAAATTTTGATAGTAATAATAGGTATGTGATTGACAATGGTGAAGAATCACATTTAGATTTTATTATGTATCCTGAGATTATAGATAAGCTTAATGGAAAGGATCTTGATTATGAGATTGAAATTATTGAGGAAATCTGTGAGTTAAGAGATAATGAATATGGAATGGGAAAAAGGGCACATGAGTGTAATGATTCGAATGAATATTCAAAGAGATTAAGAATTTCTCAAGATGATTAGTATATTCTTAATAATTAAAGTTAGATTTAGAGTGAGATCGGTTTAATCTTGTTTAGTAATTTTGATTATCTCGTATTAACCATGTTTGGTAATTTTAATCATCTTATATTAGCTATGCTTGGTAATTTTGATCATTTATATTAACCATGTTTGGTAATTTTTAAATTTATTTCGTAACATTTTGGATATAATTTATCCGATGTTTGAATGGTTATATAAGGAGATCGTTTACGGGTGATCTTTTCGGAATGTCGAAAAAGAAGATAAATTTATTTTATGATAGGGTGAGTCATTATTTCTGTGAACCGAAACTTCCCTTTCCTGACGGAACCGGAGGTCGATTTTTAACGGGTTGTGCCGGACCGGGTCTCTCCATCTCCAATTACATAGATCGGCTGATTTTATGTAATTTCTGAGATTATAGATGATATTGGGATCATTTGAAACTGAGAACCGGCTGTAATATACATGAATTGGTCATGTTGAACAGATCGAGGGGAACGTGTGAGAAATTTTGATTCACCGATTCAACCGAATTGATATAATTTATTTATTTTTTAGAAGAATCGATATTACGAGAGTATTTATGAATTGTTTAATAAATGTGATTCAAAGGGAAAAGTCACAAAAAAGTCGAAAGATGAATTTTTCGTGAGGTGTAAGGACACCAACTTTTACATTAAATGTGTTTACAATCAAAAAGGATCAGTGAATACGAATGTGATTAACAAGATGATCATGAATACATTCAATTTCTGTGAAATTATTTTAATATTATGCACGGAGAATAGGTTGAGTGAAAATACACAAGATTTGATAGATCATGTGGAGAGACCTATATTCGTGACTCATAAAAATAACTTAATTAAAAAGATTCAGAGTTTTTTGTGAATAATAATTTTAAATCAATTTTTATGTAAAGGTCTTTAATTTTTATATAAATAAACATTTTATTCAATATTCTGTTGAAAGTTTAAACCATATTATCAAATATGCACAGGTTTTTGAAATTTTTTGGAGGAAAATTTTTCAAGAAACGAATTGATAGGTCTGAAGATTATAATCAAAATTTGAATAAATACTTTGACTTTTGGTTTTATCCCTTGGATATTTTGATAAAGATTTTGAACGTATGGATGATATTAAATTACTGCAAGATATGATATGTGAACAGATATCGCTATTTACGAGTAATCAACTAATTAAAGTAACTGAATATATCATGGAGAGAGTTTGGAATAATTATCTGAAATATTCCACATCTTCGTATGTATATATTGAAGAAATTTTAATTAAATTACGTATGACACGTATAGAACTTTGTGTGGCATTATTTTATATTGTAAAGATTGAACAAAGTATCAAGAGATCGAATGGTTTTATTTATTGTATACGTCGAATGTTTACAGCTGCTCTCATATTAAGTAAAAAATATTTGAATGATTACGAATGTCGAAATGTCAACTGGGTTAAAGTTACAGGATTGGATTTACGAGAAATTAATATGATTGAGAGAAATTTTTTAAGTTTAATTGATTATAATTTATTAGTAGATGAATACTCGTTTCACTCTTTTTTATTTGACATTCAAGATATTATTAAATTTTAATATAAAATATATTTCCATAGATGTCTAAAACTTCTATGATGTTCTGTTGATTGGGATTAATATATTCATTACTAAAGATATTATTTGAAAGAAATTCATTAGGATATAGTGATAATGACGATTCAACAGAATCATGTTGAATTAATTCATTTTCAATTAAGTTGTCTGTAAGATTATATTGAGTTGATTCATCGATATTTCCACCTTCGGTAGTTTTTATAGAATCAAATTGAATTGATTCATCGATATTTCCACCTTCG